CACCAGGCTCCCAAGCCTGACCCACTCAGCTTTTTATGTTACAGGTAGTGGACCCCGAGCATAGTCGGAGGACGATGAGAGATTTTTGGATTATAGGCCAGTAGTTGTATATAACCGTTGAAAGGCTTATAATGTCTTGTTTATGCTTTTGGTCTGTATCGGTACATGACATCCCGAAGTTTTGATATGAAATGAAATTATATATTTCTTAAAGAAAGGTTTTGACAAACTTTTATCATATTTTGTTTTGGGGACCAATTCTGCAACATCTTTTATAAAGATTTCTCTGATTTGATTTTAAAAAGCATAAACCAAATCGGTCTTTTCTGGCCGAGAAATTAGGGGATGTCACATTGTGAAATGTTTTATGTTAAAGTTCTTGTGGTTGACTATAAACAAGGCGGGAAAGAGTTTCATACAGAGGTTATGTTATTAGGAAGGTTAGATTACATGAAGCTTGTGAATTTGATAGGATATTATGCATAAAAATGGAAAAAATATGCTTATATATGTATATGAGCAAAAGGAGCCTCTTTTCTCATCTGCACAGTGAAAACCATGAACTTTAAAGCCGATTTAAGGGTAGAGGAGTGGGGGTGAGGAGTAGGGGTATGGTGCTTTCTACTTATTTTTACAAGTTATATCAAATTAAGAAAAAAGATAAAGGAAATTAAAAATGCCATATTAAGTCATTTCATGTGGCTCAAAGAGCAACAATGGAAGTTTTAAAAATCGCATGGACCATATTTGTCAAAATAATAAACAAAGATTGAAGTTGCGATCTTTGGTAAACCATAAAGATTGTTTATGTAATTTTGTCTAATAATAATTTGATGTAAATACAATATGTATATATATTTATTTGAAATTCGAGGGAGTCTAAGATGGCTTATTTAAAATAAATTATGTTTCTTTATAGTTATTATTAATTTATCTAATGTTTGAAGATTTTTTTTGTAAATGTTAGATTAGTTTATCCGATACCAAAAATTATTAAGCTTATAAAATGCTTTTAATGTTTGACAATATTTGTTTATACTATAAAATTATCGAAAAAGTCATATTATATTATTAATTTCTTCTTAATTTGTTTAAAGTAAATGCAAAAGTATAATTTAACTTTGTTAATGGAATAAGTAACAAAGCTAAATCACCCCCTCTCCTTAGTTAAACTTGTGCAACCTGTTGCACCAGGTGCTAAAATATGGGTGTTTTGTATCCATTGAGAAAATACAGGTTGTAATTGGATAACAATATCTAAAAACATATCTTGAGAACTCCCTGAAACACTCATGGTATCATTACGAATATATAAACCAAAATTGTAAAAGCCTAGAAATATACATTCCCAATTGAGTTGTGATATGATTTCATTATAATGACTAAGAATATGATATAATAGATTGTTGTATCGAGTAGTTGGATCATAGTCTCTTACCATAACAATGGTTGCATGCGCAACAACACCAACTATGGGAAATCCACCGATCCACATAATTCACATATGATGTGTGAACAATGTCAGTTATGTATCATAGTCGGTAGCTAGATATGTATAAGGGGTCAATGACATACATATGGTGAGGTACAACAATAGTTAAAGAATCTAACATAACTAGATTAAAAGATAATTAAGTAGACCATCACATTGTTAAGGATCTCATATATGCCTTTATGCCCTGACCCGTAATTGACCTTTATGAGCTTCTATTCTAATAAAATAAAAATAAATTAAATTAAAATAAATTGATTTATCAAATAAACTAAATTAAAAATAAAATAACTTATCAAAAAGTATAACATATACCCATCCAAACAAAATACTTATTGGGCTGCCTTGCCTTTGAGACCATAATCAGTATTTGCTCAATTCCTCACTCATCCTGTCAAATGTGTGGGCCGGGCTAGCTGGGCTACCAACGGTAACATACATTCACCGATAGGGTCACCGCCTTAACACCGCAGACCGCCTCTCTCATCCTACACCCTTCTTAGGGTTTAAATCGAAAAACTCTGTTTAGAGCAAACAAGGTGCTGAATCTGCTCTATCGACTTCAATCATGGTTAGTTTCATTACGATTCTGCATCCAAACGTTTAAATTTGCTTTTAACTGCTTATGGGATGGATTCGCATGTTTATCAATGAATTTATGTTAACGATGTTCTATTATGCTCAAGTGTACGGTTTAAATTTCAAAAAAGAATGCATCCCAGCGAGTTATAGCAGTTAATTTGTAAAGTATCCTTCTGTGATTTTAACTGGAGTTCATAACCTTTTTCATTGTTGTTAAATTAAAAGCCTCAAGGAGATTACATAGAGCTTCACAGGAAGAGAAATGGCTATCGCCATGATCACTTCGAGAGGAAGCGGAAGAAGGAAGCTCGTGAAGTTCACAAGCGCTCCCAAACTGCTCAAAAGGTTGTGCTTCCTTATCAATCATTTTGAATTCATTTTAATTTGTTTCTCTTCCCATTTTCATGTTGTTTTCACCCGCATCACTGGAAGAATGTTTGGGTACACCACATGTTGTTTCTGGAATCGGAGCATCAAAGCATATTTTTATTAGAAAAATTGATCTTATTGTTCAAATCTCAATTGGAAGCCGTGGAAATGTGGAATACTAAAAACGTTTCCTTCTTTTATGGTTGTTCTATTGTTCCAGGCTTTAGGAATCAAGGGTAAGATGTTTGCCAAGAAACGATATGCAGAAAAGGCTCAAATGAAGAAGACGTTAGTATCTCTGCTCTACTTTTATCTTTTTTAGATATATTGACGTTTCTTGCTTTCTTCTGGCATCAATTTCTGTGTATTTGATCCTGCTAAGTGTTTGTGATGCGTGTTTATAGATTGGCTATGCATGAAGAATCATCAAGTAGACGCAAGGTGGACGATGATGTTCAGGAAGGTGCTGTTCCTGCCTATCTTCTTGATCGTGAGACCACAACACGTGCAAAGGTTTGTTTCTTTAAATTGGCTCTATATTAAACAGCTCTTGTCTTATATATAATTAACAAACATTCATACTCTTTATGAAGATTCTTAGCAACACAGTAAAACAAAAAAGAAAGGAGAAAGCAGGGAAGTGGGACGTGCCTTTACCCAAGGTAAGAAACTAGTCTATATATTTCAAATCATGTTTGAATTTGATTCTTGATGTTGACAAATATGGTTCTTGAAATGTTCAGGTGAGACCAGTGGCTGAAGATGAGATGTTCAAAGTGCTCAGAACTGGGAAAAGGAAAAGTGAGTATTTTGACTATTTTCCCATAATACCCTCGCCTATTTTAGGCTTGTTTTTGTTTGTGTACAACCAACCAAATAACTTTTTGTTACTTTTGCAGCCAAGCAATGGAAGAGGATGATTACAAAAGTGACATTTGTAGGACAAGGTTTCACAAGAAAACCTCCAAAGTATGAGAGATTTATTCGTCCAACTGGTTTAAGGTTCACAAAAGCCCATGTGACACATCCTGAACTTAAGTGCACTTTCAATCTTGAAATGATTGGTGTGAAGAAGAATCCTAATGGTCCAATGTATACATCACTTGGTGTTGTCACTAAGGGAACCATAATTGAGGTACATTTTTGCCACTTTGTAAGAGTTGTTATTTATTGTCTGTTGGAGTAAAAATTTGAACAAAATTTGTGTTGATGTGAATTTTAGGTGAACGTGAGTGAATTAGGTCTGGTGACACCAGCTGGGAAAGTAGTATGGGGTAAGATTGTTATTATTATTTATATTTTAATAAGTATGTATAAATGTTTGTGATGTTGCAAAGGTTGATGTGGTTGAATGAATGCAGGGAAATATGCTCAAGTGACGAATAATCCTGAGAATGATGGATGCATTAATGCGGTTTTGCTTGTGTAGTTTAAGTTACATGTTTTTTTTTGTTTTGGATTTAGAGTATCTTTGTATGCTTTTTGTAATATACATGATGGGTTCTTGGTAAGAGCTTGGAATTTGCATGGTGATTCATTTTCAGAAAATATGCAGAAAACTGCTAAGAATTTTAACCACATTATTGTGAAAAAAAAAAGATTAATTTGTTTTCAATTTCTAAGTATAATGTTAAAATGAGTGAGTACATGAAAATACTATATTGTAATACTAATTTGTAGCTTCGTTCACAATAAACACTGATAATACATTAATGCGATTGACTTCTACAATTAGACAGTTGGACAGGATGGTCCAAAGCTCTACCCAGTTGGATAGCTATTGCTCAGTATATCATTACAATGGCTAAATGCAAAAGTAAAACTATATTTTTAAGAGTAGGAGTTGATGGAACTTTCAGGTTCAAGTCTTGCTAGAGACGAAATGTATAAATACATGAGTATGATAGTGGGTGCGTGTGTTAGTTGTTCTAAAAAAACCATATTTTTTTTATTTGTATCCCGCTTTCATTTCATTTTATTACTACTTTCAATAGACTTTGAAAATTTTATCCAATTATAACATCGTACTTTTAACCGTTTTCTTATTGATGTAAAGTGATACCGCATTGAAATTAGAAACTCGCACCGTCAAAGCAAACAAAATATTATAAAAGCAAGCTATAACTTAACTACACCAAAATCAAATTAGTTATAGAAAGTCATTATGAAAATTCTACACTTTTGTCCACGAGGAGATTTGAACCCTCAGCTATTTGGGAATGAACATATTTCCCACACACTTTGATATCGCTAGACCAACGACCTCTTGTTAAATATATATTATTTTGGGTAAGCTTTTTTAAACATTCAAAATAAGAATAAATATAAATTCTATAAAAAATATCATTAATAATATTTGTCAAAATGACACACTTATAAATGAGTAAAAAACATAACATTATTGTCATGTTTTAATTGTATAACTATATATTTGATCATGCTGACATGAATATCAAATATGAGTATGAGTAGTCATTTTGAAAAAAAAAAAAAAAAAAAAAAAAAAAACTGGAATACATGGGTTCTCCTTGCGATGAGGCAAACTGAGGGTTCAAAAGTGAAAATTGTATATACATTCGGGTGGACCGGGTCTATTGTGGCGTTTCCCTAAAAACATCCGGTATATAGAAATAGAACTGGTGTAGTCGGAGAGAGCCGACGTTCCAACAGAGGAAGAGAGAAAGAAACGAATACAGATTGCAGCTTTTGATGGCTTCCACCGCTGCCGTGCCGTTTTGGAGATCTGCAGGGATGACCTACATCTCATACTCCAACATCTGTGCCAACCTAGTCAGGAACTGTCTCAAAGAACCCTACAAGTCCGAAGCTATCGGTCGGGAGAAGGTCCATTTTTCTGTTTCCAAGTGGGCTGACGGAAAGCCTGAGAAACCTAGTAATCACTCTCTTCCTTTAAACTTTCATCGTTTCAATATGATTTGTTGGTTGCTTAGATCTAGGGTTTCTTTCGATTATACAATCATCGTGATTTGTGGATTGTCCTGTTGATTTCTAGGGATTCATTCGATTTTTATGGGTTTTCTATTTCCAAGCGATGCATTGATTATAGAATTATATCATCAAAATCTGTATACATATTCTGAACATATATGACCATTCGATTCGATATTTCAACATTTCCGGTATTTTGATATCATTACTAGAAAAAAAAAACATAAAATTCAAAATCTACCATATTGAATCTTTTCCCAACATTACAACCTTATATAGTATGTTAAAGGTTTTCATTTCCGATCACTTTAAATCTCTTCTCATCATAAATTTTATGTGGCAAGTTAGGGAAGACAAAGAAATTTTCAATTATAGCGTTTCTTCTCTGCTTTTGAGTCTACTTTTGGCTGTAGAGCTCTGCAGAAATGAAAGTGTTTATGTTTCTTGGGCTTTTGAGAGACATGGGATAAGTAGTAGTAAATGAAAATTTCCTGAATAAGACCATTAGCCTAATAAGTCACAATCAAACATACACCAACTACACTTAAATATGTATTAGTGTTTGCTGTTCACCATATTAATCTGATTCCTGACAATTTTCTTGAATTTGTTTGTTTTCCAGCCATTCGCAGCAGCGATCCTTCTGAAGTATGAGGCAGGAAGATGTCTGCATTTTCAAAATTTTCATATTTACTAAGCTGATTATGGATCTGATATCATTGGTTTTTTAAAACACTGCACTTTGCTAGCATAAGATTGTTAGCTACAATAAAATTCCTACTGTTTTGTTGTATGTGGAAGTTTTCTTTTTTCTTTTGATTCTATAATAATTGTTGAGTTGACATGGTTGGGGTCAAAAGCTGTTTGTGGTTTGGGGTTGGCTAAAAAGACACCCCTTTTTACCATTTAGACAACCCTAATTAATTCTGAAGTATTTTTATTGGTTGAAATTGCATTGTTTTCCGAAAAAACTGATTACAAGTAGTTTATTATAAGTTAACTTTTTATAAAAATGATGAGAGGGTGTCTAAGGGGTGTCTATAATACATGTCAACCAGATGCATGCTTATTTAAAACTCAGATTTCATCAGATTTAACCCCTTGTTTAGAAGACAGGGTTGAAATTGTAACTACAAGTAGCAATTACTTTTCAATTAGGCTTTGTTTGCTGGACTAGCTGTAAATGTAGTTTTTGCCCATATGCTAGTTGATAATATAATAGCGTTTGATATCTAGATGACAAACTAATAATAATAATAATAAGCTGTGAAAAATGGGCATATAAGTGAATAGTTGGATGTAATTATCGACGAAAGCATAGAAGGATCTTTTGTCAATAGTCATAGGGAATTACACTATTTTAGGACTTTTGTTAATAGGTTATGTAAATGTCCTTATCTGTTATAGGATGGAGATGACTCTCTAAGAAGACTGTCCACTCAAGAAGCAAAAGTTGATTCAATTGCCAACAGATGATTGAATAACGAATGCATAATGGAAATAAGCCCTAATTGAAGACCCGATACCCTCAACCAAGAAAAGATCCTTGTTTTCTTTACGCCTAGAGTGCTTGTGATTGTGGTTCGGACATGTATGTAGGATACTACCAATAGCTCCGGTTAGAAAGGGTGAAGTCTATTAATGTTGACGGTGAGAGGAGAAGAGGACAACTGATAAGTAAATAGGAAGATAGTGTGAAGTTTTACTTGAAGGTATTAGCCCTTATGGAAGACATGACCTTAGATAGTAGAGGGTAGAGACATGGAATTAGATTTGTGGAGTAGTATTCAACTAGGATAGGGAGTAGCTTCATCTCTACCTTTTACGTCAAACTTTATTGCATCTATCATTTTCCCTTTAGCCAAGTACTACTATTTTATCTCTACCTTTGGTTCATATCTTCGTAATGCGGGAATTTAATCGATGCACGAACAAATCAATTTTTATTTATTTTTATCGTGGACTAACATTTTCGTACTGCAGAAAATTATTTGGTGTGGACACTTAAACATGATTTTTTTTTTAATCAGGGTCATCATCGAAAGTTGTAAGTTGTATTCCTACCGTCTGTAGGAACTATCTACTTCTTACCTCCTCCTTACCCCATTTTATGGGATTAGGCAAGATTGTCAAAATCGCATTTTTAATCGTAAAATCACAGGATTCTACGATCCTACACGTGAATATCGATCCCTATCTCATTAAACTTGTTTTTTTTTTTTAATAAAATCGTAGTGGGATCGTAAAATCGAGTCGTAGAATCATTTTGATCCTGCATTTCCTCTGTTTTTCCCATTTGAGCAATGTATTTTACCTTCCAACTACGGATGACCATAACTTCTTTATATGTACTCGGATTTTGATAATCTTTATATCCACGAATCCGTATCCATGTCTACTACAACTTTCTTTTAGATTATTTCGGCTAAAAACTACTATATTTTTTATTTATAACGTCATAAACGAAGTTTTAAACATTTTAGAACTTATGGATGCATGGCTTGTTATGTAAGATTAGATTGGAATGATATATATAGTAGTTTTAAAAAATTTAGAACTTGTGGACAATCAAAAGATGGATAGAGATATATTTTTTATGTGTTAAGCTTGTAATCACATTATTTTTATAGGATCATACGATCCCCATTTTGTAAACCCAAAAACGATCAAACGTAGAATCTCAATCTTGATAACCTTGGGATTAAGACATTGTTAGTGTTAGTGTTTAAGGTGGTTATATCCTCCTATTTATATTATTATTATTATTCTTATTAATATATAAAAACTATTGTACTTATTAGGAGAGAGAGAGAGAGAAAGAGAGAGAGAGAGATTTATGCCATGTGGGTGGGGTGCAACCTCATTTTTGTCACACCATTTACATCTCTTGCTATTTGAGGGGTGGTGTGCCAGGTTTGATTATATATATATATATATATATATATATATATATATATATATATATATATATTCCTATTCTAATAAAAGAATAGTTTTATTCTTCATTTGACATGTGTCATCCTATTAGACCTCCTAATTAATGCATATTTTATTCTTCTTTTGACATGTGTCACCCTATTATGTTCCCTAATTAATGCATTGCCACTTGTCAACCTATTGATTCTCCATTTCAAATTTTAAATTTTAAAATTTTCACTCTAATCACAATAAATTAATAACATTAGAATAAAAATTAAAATAAAATCAATACAAATTATAAAGTGATATAATTTCATATATTTATTTAAACCAATGATTATAATTTTATATAACTAAAAATATCTTAATTAATAATTTATTTAAAATAATTAATTAATAATATTTCGAGTTTTATTATAAAAGTTTAATTAATTTGTAACTGTGGTTCCCACGGGTTATATATATATATATATATAATATATATATATATATATATATATATATATATATATATATATATATATATATAATATATATATATTAATGCACAAAACCTTAAAGAACAGTAATTTTTTTTTTTTTTTTGGGTTTTGACCCTACCATTTTGTAAAGGTTATATTTTTGAGATCAGTAGCTAGAAAGCTCCTTTGGGAGAGGATACTCCTTATATATATTAATGCACAAATCCTTAGGAAATAGTAAAATTTCATTCTTTTGGGTTTTGACCACACTATTTTGTAAAAGTTACAATTTTGGTCCTCCTTTTTTTTTACTTTTCAATTATAATCATAATAATTGTTTTTTTTTTGGTTTTAATGTATTGAATTTGTAGTGGATTTCTTCATAGTTTGCTTTTTAATCGATGAATTTAAAAGCTTCTATGCTTTGGTTTATCTAAAAAAAAATACAACCCAAGGAAAAGCCCGGGCTTTTTTTTACTAGTTATAATTAATATAAAACTAAAATTTTCATTAAACTTTTCAAGTACATGATAATAATAAAAAAATAGATAAAATTACATAATGGTCTTTGTGGTTTGGTGAAATAGGCATTTTTAGTCCAACTTAAAAAAAATGGATAAAGTCGGTCCTTATGTTTTGTCAGTATTACACATATCATCCCTAAGCCGTTAAATCCAACTACAGAACCGGTTTAATGCAAGTAAAGTTACTTTCTTTTTACCTTTTTTTTCTTTTTTGTATATTTTGTTTTTAAATTTTTTTTCTAAACTATAGGGGCCATTTATGTAAAGAATACCTTTGTAACTAATATCTCATCCCTTAGAATTTAGATCCTACTACATCAATTCCATTTTGCGACACACCTTTGATTCTCGATTTCACTTTGAGTTTTCGATGACAACGATCGTGGAAGTGGGCGCTAACAAAGAAGAGGACGATTGGGGTAGGAAAAGTGCACCACCGGCGAGAGGGATGGTTGTTGTGGACGTTAATGCCATCGATAGAACTAAAATCGGTGGAGTCTTGGAGCTTCACCAAGGAAGGTGCCTTTATGAGTGGGACATGCTTTTAGCAGCAGTTCCAGGAGATTAAGAGGAGTGTACTGGGGCGGTGGCCCTCGTTGTCTACGTTGTGTATCGATTGTGAGAGTGTGGTCTCTTGCTGTATGATGATTCCCGCGATGGGAGGCTGGTCGAGGAATCAGAGACGAGGTGCGTGATAGTGCATTATTTTCAGATTGAGAGTCAGGACTAATTCGGGACAGTTGGGGTATGCGGTGGTGTGTCGGTCTGAGACTTCGAGATGACTAGAGGCAGTCACGTCGGGGGAATTCTGAGATATTAGTCTGAGTTACGGGATACTTGGAGTTATTTGGTCATTATCCGGAAGATCTTCGAGTGATGTGTGGTACATTCTATGAGACAGAATTGGTACATCTGGCGAGCCAGTCCGTGGAGTAGACTAGGGTATGTCAATTGGTGATGGTCTGAACCCTGAGTGGGGGAGAACTGGGTATTTTATTAGGAGGATTAGAGGTTTGTTCGAGAGTGGTTAGAGAATTGGCTATGGAGATCTGCGGTACGGACACCTGATACTTGGGTTATATGTGGATGAGGTAAGGTGCAGAGTGAGATAATGCATGTTGTATGAGTTCAGAAGAAGATAAGGTTCGGATTGTCGCCAAGGTGTTCTCAGTCATTGGCGATTCCTCCATGCCTCAATTTGGGAAATGAGGTATTTCGAGGATTTCGAGTTGTGCGAGTGGAAGATCAGCGGTCGAGGTAAGACATTATGAGGTTCTGAGAGGGTATGTTGTGGTATCCGAGTATGGTGTCGTGAGTGGAAGATTTGTGGATGAGACAAGACATCGTGAGGTTATGTGATGGCGTACCGGGGTATCTGAGTATGATGCCCTAGACTTTTGGGATTATTTGAGACTTGAGTTTGTGAGATGGCAAGTGGAGTACCGAGTGGCTATTGTTCCAGTGGGAACCCTTCAGCTAATTGTCATCAAACGGGATTATCCAAGAATGTGAATTGCAGCAAAAGAAAGTATTTTTCATGACGGTTGTTGTCAGGAGTAGTGATGCTTAACATGGGTGGGTGAGTGTACCTACCTATGTTGGACCGTGGAGTATTTGATAGTGGACTCAGTGTAGTGACGACTTGAGAATGAGAATTTGGGGTAATAAGAGAGTAATCAGATCCGGGTGGGAGTAATCACTTGGGACTGTCAGGGAAGACCGTGGGGAGAGCTCAGGGAGAGTTAGAGAGAGAATATCGTGTGACTGCGGAGAGCCGTAGCATACGTGAGTTAGAGAGAGAGTATCGTGTGACTGCGGAGAGCCGTAGCATACGTGAGTTAGGAAAATAATATCGTGTGACTGCGGAGAGCCGTAGCATACGTGAGTTAGAGAGAGAATATTGTGTGACTGCGGAGAGCCGTAGCATACGTGAGTTAGAGAGAGAGTATCGTGTGACTGCGGAGAGTCGTGGCATACGTGAGTCAAAGAGAGAGTATCGTGTGACTCCGAAGAGCCGTATCATACATGAGTAAGGGAGAGT